CGACACAGGTGCTGACCACCGCCGTGATGCATCTCGATGGATGAGGACGCTGAGGCTCAGAGTGGGTGGTGACGTGTCCAAGGTTGCACAGCTCTGCCCTGGGATCAGGGTCTTGTCTGCCTGACTGTGGAGTCTGTGCTCGGGGTCACAGAACGGCGGTCTTCCCTCAAGTGCTGTGTGACTCGAGGTGGGTCACTTGGCCTCTCTGAACTCATTTCTCTTGGGGGTGCAGAGAAATTGTCCTGGTCTTCTAGGGCTGCCATAACAAATCCCACAGATGGGGCTGCTTAAACACGGATGTTTGTTCTCCAGGGGTTCTGGAGGCTGCTGAGGCCAGGGTGCCGAGTGGTCGGCTCCTGGCCGGGGCTCAGTGAGGCCTCCTCCCTGGCAGGTGCACCCTGTTCCGTGAGGCCTCCGGTTTTCCTCGGAACACCCCAGGCAGCGTCCCTCTCTTCTCCAGGGGCAGGAGCTGGGTCTGGTACCCGCAGGGGACAGTGGCACCTGGCGTGAATGTTTGGCTGTGTGATTCAGAGATGGGTGGACAGCCAACGGCTCTCCCGTCCTCTCAGGTTATAACTTGTCTACGACCTCAGGTGTGTGCTGGACCCCAGGGCGCCCTCCGCTGCCGATGCGGCCCAGTGGTGTGTCGTTCTGTGGGGGCGGGAAGGCACGTCGGCTGCTGTGCTACTGACAGCGGGTGTCTGCATCCAGGGCTCTCCTCCGACGGTGTGCGCGGGGCGCTGGAGCTGTCTGGGCAGGAGAACAGGATGCAGGGGTCGTTTCGAGTTTCTCAGCCAGGGCCTCAGGGAGAAGGGCTCCCGTCCTGCCTTTCTTGCTGGGGTCTTCCTGGAGGGTAGGGACCCTTCGTTTACGTGCCGGGTCCACCCTCACAGCCAGCCTGTGCACTGATGTGATGCCCACACTCCTCCGTACCGTGGGGTTTTGGGCGGGAAGGCACATCCCTTTATTCTCCAGGCTCTGGCGACCCTGCCCCTATCTCGTGGAAGTTCTGCAGGGGGTTTTCCCGTGTGTTGGAAGCAATCTTTCCTGCTGGTCAGTGCAGGTGCAAGTCCCTGGGTCTCTGGGCCTCTGTCTTCCCATCTGAAGATAGGGTTCGCTGGGACAGTCTGCACCGAGACTTCCTGCTCGGGCACTGTCTTCATCGGAGCACCGTAGGGAGCTTGTGTTGTACTTAACTCCGTCTGAACCTCCCCGCGAGGACGGGTATGGAAGGTCACAGCTGACCGCTGCTGACCGCTGAGTGACAACAGCAGAACGACCTCACGTTTGGGGGAGACACGAAAGTTAGGAAATCTTAAACACGAGGTCCTCCTGATATTTATCCTGCAGCTCCAACCGACTTTTCCTGTGCTCGTGGTCCGTTCTGGACCCCAGGAAGGGGGTGCACTCCAGAGTTAGGGGACAGAGAGCTCAGCCGTTTGAAGCAGGCTGGGGGAGGGAGGCTGCCCCCGTGGCGGGCACACAGGGTGTGTACGCGTCCCAGGGATCCCTGATTTTCTGCAGAATGCTCTTCGCCAGCGGCTGAGCAGAAACGCTGTGGTCAGCTCCGGGATTCTGACCTCATCAGTGGGCACGAGCGTCGGGACAAGGACGGGGACGTGGCCGGCCGGGCTGCGGGGGCAGACACCACATGCCGGACCACTGCAACAGCAGACCTGTGTTTGTCACTGTGTTGGCGGCTGCACCTCCGAGATCCGGGCGCCAGCCTGGTCAGGCTCTGCTGAGGAGGTTGTCCCGGGCAGCAGACGGCCGTCTTCTCCCATGCTGGAGAGAGACAGCGAGCTCTGGCGTCCCTCCTGACTGCAAGGGCAACAGCCCCATGCTGGGCAGCCTGTCCCCCTCCCCATGACCTCATCGAACCCCGCTCACCTGCCAAGGCCCACCAGCAGCCCCCATCACAGGGGGTCAGGCTTCAGCCCTGGGTGGGGAGAACACGCTTCAGTCCCCTGCGGGAGGTGACGGTGGGCAGGCCATGCAGGGGCGCTCAGCCTGGGCAGGGGTCACTCCTCGGAGGAGCAGACAGCACAGACTGAGCCCAGAGGAAGAGGCAGTGGGGCGGGCAAGCTGGAGGGGTGCTTCTGGAGAGAACAGTGCTTGCGCGTCTGCAGGGCCGAGTCGTGGAGATGGAGTAGACCAGCGCGGTGTCTCTCTAGCACGTGGCATGAGAGCCGCTGGGCGCATGGGGCAGAGCCACATTCTAATCCCTGGGTCAGTCTTGGGACAGGCTGTGAAGAAGGGGCCCCAGAGGCGTTCCAGACCGTGGTTTCCAGATGGCGGGGGGCGTGGTGGCGGCCTGAGCACCTGCTCCTGCTTCAGCGTGAAGTAAGGCCCCTTCCTTGCTGCCTTAGGGAGGCGGCAGCCTCTCCCCGTGACACTGAACTTGGGGCATGTTTCCCACAAGCCAGCGCTCAGCGGTGACGTCACCCCTGTCTGGAGCAGGGTTGCCGGGGGCAAGTGTGTGACGGGCTGAGTTCTGGCCTCGGGGTGATTGAACGTGGTTTGCTCTCGTTCCCTTCCCTGCTGGCTGCTCTGGGGGCTCAGTAGTAGGGTCACTGGGGGTGAGCCTGCTCCGGGGACCCTGGTGGGGGGAAGGGCCGGTCAGGAGACTGGAGCAGGTTAGCAGTGACCCAGGGTCCTCTGGCCGCAGGGGCGGGAGGGGCAGGACTGGCTCCGGTGGGCAAGGATGGAGACTGAGGAGCGCAGAGCCAGTTCTCGGCTCTGTCCCCCACGGACCCCGGCCCCACACAGGGATGGGGGCGTTGAAGGGCTGCCTCCCGTTAGGGAGAACCACCTTCACACCCTGCTGCTCCTTGCTTGTGGCCCCGCCGCTAACTCTGCCCCACGGGGAGCACCCCCACTCCCGGCCCCAGGGTCCCCGTGAGCTCCTAGCCAGAGGTCCGTGCCTGGCCTCATCCCAAGGCTTCTCTGCAGTGTTCAGCCGCTGACCACGCTCCAGCCAGGGCTTCACGCTTGTCCCTGTCTCACTGCACAGCTCCGACCCTGTGGGCACCCCTCCTCCACCGCTCCGCAGGGTCGTCCGGGCCTGCCCCTCCTGTAGGGCGACCTCACCGCTACCACTCACTGCTGGTCTGGGGCCTTCGCAGAGAAGGCCGCTGCGGACCCAGCCAGACATTCCTGCCGTGGGGTTCCCCACGGGAACAGCCTGCTTCCCACTTCTCTCTCCCATCCCTGCCTGCCCAGGGGCCTCCCCACTGTCACCTGCTCCTGACCTCTTCCCAGATGTGGCACTTCTCCCACTGCCCTCCCTGCCCCCCGACCCTGCTCCTGGGCACCTGTCTTCGGCTCTCACCTGTTCCCTGACCGGGTGTCCTCGCCCCCTCCCAGCCCTTCTGCATGTCACCAGATGAGCGTCAACCATGGATCCACTTGTCACTCTCTTCTAGCTCCCCACCTGGAGGTTTGTGTCCCTCGGGGCACCTTCCCCACCCCCTCACTTGCCAGGGCTGCCTCACAGCCCCTCTCCTGCCACAGCACACCTGTTACAGGTGTCTGACCGCTCCCCGTCTCCCGCCGGTCTAGGTCCTGCTGCACCACACGGAGCTCACAGTCCACAGGGTCTGTGGCCTGAGTAGTCTCTGTCACGGCTGGGCCAGCCTGGCCTCGGCCTCCCTGGGGTCCCCCGCCAACCGTGGTGCAGGAAGGGGGCACTGGCCCTCAGATCTGCCGTCGCAGCTCTGTCTCAGTCCTGCTGTACACTGGCCGTGTGGCCCAGACCAGCCTCCCAGGCCGTCGGGGCCTTGTCTATGCAGGGATCGCTTCTGTGACCCCGCAGGAGCGTGGGCGTGAGGGTGCTTCGTGAATAAGTGTGTGTGAATGCCAGCCACTCTGTGTCACGGGGATGCGTTTCCATGTCAGCAGGGCTCGTCCCGAGGCCTGTGTTCTGTCCTCTGACCTCTGTCTGTCTGCAAAGCTACGAGTTCCTGGCTGGGAAATCCTCAGGTTTAAGGTGTGAGTCGGCGTCAGAGCAGCACGAAGCCTTATCTGTAAGCAACACGAAGTCCTTCCCGTCCCCTCCCCCTGTGGAGGAGCTTGTGCTCAGTTTCCCTTAGTTTTAGTATTAAATGAAGTCTGTCTGCGTGGTTCTTTTACTAAGTGTTCTGTGTGTGTTTGCTGTTTGCCGGCTGGGTTTGCGGTCTGGGGTCAGCAGCAGACCAGCAGGGACGGGGCCGAGAGTTTGAGAGAACCTGGGGGCGGACACGCCCTCCGCCTGCATGACCCCTGCTGTGAACGGGTGAGGACCGCCGTCCGGGGTCTCAGCGCACTGGTCAGTGAGGATGGTCCTGTGGGGTCACGGCGTGAGGATGGTCACCGGGCCGGCCTGCAGGGATAGGCAGCGTGGGAGAGGCAGAGTGAGGGAGCTGTGGGGGGGGTGACCCTCCAAGCTGCATGAAGAGAACGATGGGGCTGTGTGGCCAGGCCCTGCTGGAGGACTAGACCCTCGGAAGCGTGTGACGGAGCATCCCCGGACCCTCCTTCCCGCCCCTCCCAGCTTCCTGCGTGAGTGAGGCTCCCCCTCTCCTGGGAAAGGGGCCTCGGTGGTCACTGCACACCCCCGCTGGCCGGCCTCCCAGCTCCCGAGAGCAGCCCACATGCCCTTGATGGAGCGTGGCTGCTTGACGTGGGCTGGGGCTGGGACGGAGCACATCTCTCTACCGATGTTGAGTGCAGCGCAGGAGGGGCCTGGGCTGAGGTCGGGATGGGGACCCACCGGTGGTCTCCTCGGTTCTGCAGTGCACGTGGCTTTTCGGGGAGGTGTGTCCTCCTCTGGGAAATCTGTCAACAAGTGACCTGTGAAGAGCCTTCTGGGGTCAGTCACATAAAGATGAGAGCTGTACCCGTTCCATCTCCTCTCGTGTGTGTGCACGTGCGTGTGTGCGTGTGCGTGTGGGTCATGTTAAACGGGAGGTAGGCTGAATTACCTGTGCACCAACCAATTTTGATTTTGTTGTTTTCTGCAGGAGACATGGGTGACAAAGGACAGAAGGGCAGTGTGGGTCGCCATGGAAAAATTGGTCCCATTGGTTCTAAAGGTATTTGCGACGCACCCCTCGTCCCCATATTCCCTCCCAGGCTCCCTGGGCAGGCGCTGGAGAACGCTTGCAGACTGCCAGTTGCTTCTTTCTGTCTGCTCTACACATGATACCTGCGGTCCCAGGGTCTGCCTCTGGGGCCGCTCAGAGTTGCCTGCTGGCTGGGTGCCCACCAGGGTGGGGTGAGCACGCCCCAGCCTGCGGATTCACGGGGCGTCCTGGTGGAGAACTGGGGGCGGCTACTCAGACAAGACCTTTCACTGCCACGTCCGTAACCAGTTTAAGGAAGCACTGAACCCCATCTGAGTAACAGGAGGGCTGTGCTCCAGAGGCACTGTCCACCTCCAGCTTCGGTGACTTTTTGAAACCGGGGTTGGGGGCATTCCATGAGAACGAGACCCAGGAGGCAACAGCCAGATGAGAGCAGCCATTTAGGGACAAGACACTTGCCCTCGTCTGTGGCTATCTGGCGACCTCGTTTGACCACACGACCCTGCAGCGGGGACAGGCCAGGAGACTGAGGCCCAGGCAGATAAGGAAGGCTCTGAGCCACCAGTCAGCAAACACTCTTGGAGCCCCTGGGGTGTCCTGCGCCTCTGCCGAGCCCCCGGGCCCCGAACTTTCAGAGAGTGATCCCGTGGAGGTCTCCCCACCTCCCCCTTGGTGATAAGGAGGGGTGCAAGGCCAGGGAAGGCTGGTGGTTGGGAACATGGCTGAGCCTGTGCAGCAGGGAGGGGGCTCAGGGTGGTCTGCCCAAGCCTGGTGCTGGAGTCCTTCTGTCTCATTAACCTGCCGGGGAGTTGAGCTGTGAGTGGGTTCAGGTGGTCGGTTCTGACGGTGCCCAGGCACCGCCCCCTGGCCGCAGCTCGTCCCTGGCCGGAGGGGGTCCTCGGCAGGAGGGTGGCGGAGACCAGCCAGCCCAGCGTCTGTCTGGGAAACCCTGGGGGGAGCACCTGCTGGCCCGGCCTGCCCGCTCGCTCCGGAGCACGTCAGTGTGCCTGGCAGGAAGAGGGGCTGCTGTGCTTCCCAAAGGCTTTGAGAGATGGTGGTAAAATCGTCGTAACGTGAAACTGGCCGTGTTAGCTGTTTTCAAGTGTGCAAGTCCGTGGCAGTAAACACCTTTGTGTGTTGAGCAGCTGCTCAACATTCTCACCCCCCGAGAGGAGCCGTGTCCTGGTGAGGCAGGGTCTCTGGTCCCTCCCTCGGCCGTGGTCCCCTCTCCTCTAATTCCAGTCCACGAGTCGGTGTGTTTGAGGCAATCACGGGTGTCTGACTTACTCACTCAGCGGCACGTGTCCAGAGATCATCTCCTTCCTTTTTAGGGCTCGATCATGGCATCTCTCTCTGTTGAGAGAGAACTGGGTTGTGTCCCCTTTGTGCTGGCCTCCGAGTAGGGACGCGTGTGCCTTCCATGTACTACGTGTGCTCCGGGCAATGCCAGTGTCTCACCTAGGGGCCGTGTGCCGACAAGCCCTTCATTAGCTTACTTTACCTGATCTGCTTTCCGGGCCTCGTGGGGCTGACCTTGCAGACCTCTCCAAGCCCTGAGGCTGACGAGGAAGTCCCAGGGATGCTGCAGACGGGGCTGGCAGGCTCCCCCGCTCCCCACGTGGACAGGATGCATGGAATCCACAGAAGGAGGGGGCGCTGCTCCGCCCCCCTCCCACGAGACTAGGACGTTCAGGTTGTCTCGGGGAGGAGAGAGCACGCTGAGGGAATATTCATGTGCCTTTAATAGACTTGTCTAATTTTAGAGCAGCCAGAAAGCGTTGTTGGCACGCTTGTGTCCAACCCCTTGGCTTTATACGCTGGGAGGCTGGGGGGTGGATTGTGTGGCGTGTCCTCTGTGGGATGCCGTGTCTCAGGCCAGGCGGGAGCCCACGTGCTGCTCTGGGGAGAGACTGTCCCCAGGTCCGGCCAGGTGCCAGCATCACTGTCTCCCGGCCGCCAGGTGGGTGAGAATTGGAGTCAGATTTAGTTGTTACTGACCCAGGGGTTCATGACATGGTATCTACAGACTGTTCTATGACACACCTGGGATTTTTCGGACGCGACTTAAAGGAGGGTCGTTGGGTCATTTCTCAGATCTTGAGATAGGCATATGTTCTATGTCACATCAACAGAGCCTGAGTTAATTACCTTAGAACACAACTCCCTGTGTTCACGGCAAAGACAGGGTCTGCGGGAAATGCTAGGGCATCACACATGGAAGAAATAACATTGTGAACTTTGGCAATTTTAACCTCAAGGGACGTGGCCCACCTTTGCTTGACCTTGCTCTCCTTTTTCAGGTGAAAAAGGAGATTCTGGTGACATGGGACCCCCTGGCCCTAATGGAGAACCAGGTATGGCACATGGGCTGCTGGGCTTTAAAACATGCATTAAAATTTGCACTTCCCCCTGTTTAATTGAGAGATAATTAACATATGTTGCTATAAAGGTTTAAGGGTTACAGGACAGGGGTTTGATTTACAGATACTGTGACACGATCGCCACCATCACTTCAGCTAATATCCGTCTTCTCATAGAGACACAATAAAAAGAAAAGAAAGAAAAGGGAAAAACAAATTATCCCTGGGATGAGAACTCCAAGGACTTGCTCTCTTACCAGCTCCCCCGTGTGTCCCACGAAGGGCCGTGGTCCTCACCACGCACATCGCATCCCTGGTGGGCGTCTGCACCTGCTGGCCCCCTTCCTCCTGCTCCCTCCCCCCACATGTGGAAGGGAGAGCCTGCAGGGTTGGTCCTTCTCTGCCTGACTCGATTCCCAGCAGTAATGCCTTCAGGGTCCATCCTTGTTGTCACAAATGACAGGATTCCCTGGGGCGCCTGGGGGCTCAGTCGGTTGAGCGACTGCCTTCAGCTCAGGTCATGATCCCAGGATCTGGAATCGAGTCCCACGCCTGGCTCCCTGCTCAGCTCAGCGGGGAGTCTGCTTCTCCCTCTCCCTCTGCCTCTCCCCCTGCTTGTGCTCTCTCTCATGTTCCCTCTCATTCTCTTGTGCTCTCTCTCTGTCTCTCTCTCAAATGAATAAATAAAATCTTAAAACAAATGACAGGGTTTCCTAATTGTTTGCAGCTGAGTATTACTCCATGTATACACATCACAGCTCATGAACCCTCCTCTGTGGATGGACACGTAGGGTGGCTGGCTGGTTTTGGTTCCTCTCGGAAACAGTCTTGAAGGGCTCCCATTTCTTACGGGGCTTATAACGTCGGAGAACCAAGCAGGAGGCATCACACGCTGTGATTTCAAGCTGTGCCATGAAACGACAGGAATCTGGCCGGTGTGACACTGGCATGAAAACAGTCCCACAGACCAATGGGGCAGAACCGAGAGCCCGGAAACAAACCCAGGCACATATGGGCGACTAACATTTAATAAGGGAGCCATGAACACCCAATGGAGAGAAGACAGTCTCTTGGGAAAACAGGACAGTACATAGAAAAGAATGAAACTAGTCCCCCATCTTACAGTGTTCACAAAAACTAACTAGAAATGGACCGGAGACTTAAATGTAGGACCTGAGACCCATGAAACTCCTGTAAGAAAACAGGAAGGAAGCTCCCTGATGCGGATCTTGGCCATGAGTTTTTGGGTATGACGCCCAGAGCAAAGGCAACAAAAGCAAAAGTAAGCAAGTGCGACCACATCGAACTCAAAAGCTTCTGCAAAGCAAAGGAAACCACCAACCAAGTGAAAAACTATCAGCAAACCATACATTTGATGATGAGCCGATCCAAAACCTGCAAGGAGCTCATCCAATGCCACAGCAAAAGAGCCAGTTAGAAACAGGCAAGGCAGCTGGACGGACATTTTTCTTAGGAAGATGCATGGAAGGTCGACAGGTACATGAAAGGACACGCAGGATCTCTAGTCATCACGAACCAACACCACAATGAGCTGTCACCTCACACCTGTCGGAACGGCTGTGACCAAAAGACAAGAGCTAGCAGGTGCTGGTGAGGAGGTGGAGAAAGGGGACCGTCGTGCACTGTCGGCGGAGTGCAGCCTGGTGCGGCCACTCTGGAAGACAGCACGGAGGTCCTCCAGACAGTAAAAATAGAGCTAACGTGTTCTCCAGCGATCCCACTTCTGAGAGTGTATCCAGAGGAGACAACACTATCTCAGCTGGATGTCTGCGCCCCCGTGTTCACAGCAGCGCTGGTTACAGTAACCAAGATGTGGGGAAAATTGCACTCGGCACGGAAGTGCGAATCATGCAATGAAACCCCTGTGGTCCGGAAAACGGAGTACCCGTGGCTGGCATCCTTATCTGTCATACCCTCTCCTAGACTATTTCAGTATTCAACTCCCTTCTACCTGAGTATTCTCACGTCCTTCTTGGGACCGCAGTGCTCACCGACCACACGGGTCGGCTCAGATGCCCCCGTCCCCAAGTGCGCGTTCCTCACTTCTAAGAGCTTCCCCCTTCCTCTGAGCACGCGCTCCTTGGGAGGCACATCTGTGCTTTCTCATTCTGGAGCTCCCTGCAACCTCCTCTGAAGCCCGAGAAGGTCACCCGGGACCCTGGCTGCTCAGGGGACATGTCCAGCTTCCTGGTGCCGATGACAGTGGCCTCTCTGCCTGCTGTCCTGCGGCCGCGGCCCTCTCTCCGTGGAGCTCGTCTGCTGCCTGTCCTCCGCGCGGGTCCCCCAGCCACATGCCCCCTTGGTGGCCCCTCCTGTCTGGACTTATCTGTCCGCTTGCTTGGTGCATGTCCACCATGTCCTGCTGTTCACGTGGGTCCAGCCACTCCTCACTCACGTGGCATTTCCCACGTGGTGGTTGTCCTCTGCGTGCTCCTGGCCATTTCCCTGCCCATGACTGACCTCTGTCCCATGCTACACACATTGTCCCATACTGTTCCATGCTGTCCCTGCCGTCCTTCATGGTCCCAGGCCATTTGCACAGCTGTCCTGTGTCCTGTCCCTGCACCAGCACCTCGTTCAGGCTCTTGTGACCTCTCTGTGAGCTTGCCGTCAGGCCCTGGGGGACCGGGTGGGGTGGGGGGATCCTGGAGCCTAAAGGGCTTCCCAGTGGTTGGGCCTGACCATCCCCTCCAGGCCACTGTGTGTGTGGGCACGTGCTGGCATCTGCTTGTTGAATCAGCCCGTCTTTCTGTGTCTCACACAAACCGTGTCTCCATTTGCTGTCATTCATCCTGATGGTGACATTCAGAGAGTAGCCCCGAGCAAGCTCGGAGCTTGGAAACTGGTGAAGAAAGAGATGTCTGAGTAAAAGCCCTTGTCTGGAGGGCTCTGTCAGCGCTGCGGGGAGGAGGAGGAGGAATGGCTGGTGGGCATGGATTTGGCCGCATGAGGTCACGGAAGGGATGGCAGCGCCTCTCATGGCCACCTCTGGATGTGGCCGGTCCCGCAGGGAGGAAGACGTGGAGGGGTGTGGGGCCGGCCTGGAGGCCACGGGACAATTTGAAGGACACAGAGGAACCAGCTTCCTGCTTGTCACTGCAGAGAATAATCCAGAAAGCAGGGCAGCCCCGGAGGGCGTGGGCCCGGCTCTGGTCTCAGACGGGCTGCCGCAGAAACATGCCCGGGCCCGGAGTGTCAATGAGCCACCAAGCATGGACCGGACCTGCGCGTGGAAGTGAGCGTGTTCCAGACTCTGGTGGTGGAGGAGGTTGAGGTTCTGGAAGACGGACCCCGTTTCCTACGGGGGTGCTCTGTCTGGAAGTGCGGCTGCGCTCAGCGCCGTGGGCTTTGCAGGGAAAGAGGAGGTCCTGCCTGCGGGCTGTGGTAGGGCCAGTGCAGGACAGACATGATCCAGTCCTGGGGAAGGCAAGGGGCTGGCAGTGGCTGGGTCCCCCAGGCTGGGGATGGGGAGCGGGGTGAAGACAAGTGGAGCTCCTCATGGCAGCAGCTCAGGGACCCCGGAAGGGCCAGGACCCCCGACCAGAGGTGGCACGGCTGTCTGTGCTGCGTGAGAGACCCTCAGGCCCTGGGGCCCCACTGTCCTCAGACGTGCTGGCTTCTCTGCATCTGCGTGTCCCTGCCCTGAGCCCCTTGTCCCCTGAGCTGCTGCCACGACTCTACCCCCCAGCCCCGTCTCCCCCATCCTCCCCTCTTCCCACCCACCCAGAGCCCTGTCTCAAAATGGGTCAGTCCTGGTGCCGCCCCGTTGATGTCCCTGGGCTGCTTCTCCTTGCCTTCGGGATGAAGCCCGGAATCTGCGTCCCGGCCTCGAAGGCCCATGGGGTCTGCAGGCCGAAGAAGCCTTCTGTCTGGGTGGGGGGCCGCTTTCCTGAGCCGGCCCCCAGTTGCATCTGACACGGGGGGCCGGGTCTCCGCAGGCATCCCGTGTGAGTGCAGCCAGCTGAGGAAGGCCATCGGCGAGATGGACAACCAGGTCACGCAGCTGACGACCGAGCTAAAATTCATAAAAAATGGTATGCTCTCCGCGTCTCCCTGTCCCCCCCCCCACCCCGAGACCAAGGGGCCGGCCGGCGGGTCCCGCCCGCGCCCACGGGCAGTGGGACTCGTGTGTGCTGCTCACCGAGCGTGTTTACAGAAACGCGAGTGCTCACTTTCCAGCACTGCCCTCCCCCGCAGCTGTCGCCGGCGTGCGCGAGACGGACACTAAGATCTACCTGCTGGTGAAGGAGGAGAAGAGGTACGTGGATGCGCAGCTGTCCTGCCAGGGCCGCGGGGGCACGCTGGGCATGCCCAAGGACGAGGCCGCCAACGGCCTGATGGCGGCCTACATCGCGCAGGCCGGCCTGGCCCGCGTCTTCATAGGCATCAACGACCTGGAGAGGGAGGGCACGTTTGTGTACTCAGACCGCTCGCCTATGCAGACGTTCAACAAGTGGCGCAGCGGCGAGCCTAACAACGCCTACGACGAGGAGGACTGTGTGGAGATGGTGGCCTCGGGCGGCTGGAACGACGTGGCCTGCCACGTCACCATGCACTTCCTGTGCGAGTTCGACAAGGAGCACGTGTGAGCGCGGTGGCCGGTGCCCCTCCGCCCCCGCCCCGGGCCGCCCCTGCCCCTCGTGCCCCCCCCGTGTGCTTGCCCTCTGCGCTGGCGGCCCCACCTCCGGTTGACCGCGTTTCTGGGCCGCGGACAGCGCGGTGCTCGGGAGGGAGACCGCGGGGCTGGCTGGGGGCCTGGTGGCCAAAGAAGTCACATGTTATCCCCCACGCCGTCGCCGCCGGCTCCGTGGGGAATTGTTACTCAGAATCGCTCTGCCTGTGTCCAAACTATAAAATAAAAGCTTGAAATATGACCGTAGTTCAGCACAAACAGTGGCAGCGGGGTCCTCCGTTCCCGTCTTCCCTTTCATTTCTACGTGGAGAAGAAGCCCTCCCTCTGGCCCTCGTGTCTGTAATCACGTTAAAATGTCTGCTCTTTTTCACTGTGGCCTAAATAGGGACCATTTTGCTTGGGGCAAGTGCAGGTTTCGGGAGAAGGAAACCAAAGTTGTGTGTAGCTGATGTGCGAGCGTGTGGTGTCCTCGTGGTGTCCTGTCCCTTGGGTGCTGTCCGTTGGCGACGGACGACTCGCCCTGGACCGAGTGTCTTGTGACAACAACATTAAGGATCTCACGGTGTCCATGGATCTAGACTCTCCTTGGGGTGCAGGCGGACCCCCTTCTGCCCACCGGTGGTGGTCGTGGGTCGGGTTGGGCTCCTTGTCACGGGGGCCTCTCCACGGGCAGCTCCCGCATGGCGGCGGCTGCCTCAGAGACACGAGGGAGACCTGATCTGGGAGGTGGTGCGCCATCCCACCACAAGGGCGTTCTGTCCATGAGGGGTGACCCCCCAGGTCCCGTGCGTGCTCAGGGAGGGGACATCACAGGGTGCGGACACTGGGAGGCAAGTCCGGAGGGGGTCGCCACAGCACCTGAGGTCCCTTTCCTTTTTGGGCATCATCCACACTTCTTCGTGTTTCAAAGAATACAGCACAAAGGCACCTGCAGAAGCAATCAGCTGGTGGGGGCAGGACGGAAGCTGCTGGGGGCTGGACGGGAGCTGGTGGGCAGTTCTTCAGGGGCTGTGCATGTTGCTCGTGTCTTGTGAGCGACGTCCTGGCTGCCCGAGGTTCTGGACCGTGGTTTTAAGGGTGTTTGTGTAGCCTTCTGCCATGGACGACAGTACTGTGTCTCCCTGGGTCACCCCTCTGGACAAAAGGGCACGTCCGCTTAGAGCCTCCGAGGACAGTGGGCAGGCACAGTTACCGTCCAGCAGGGGGAAGGCGATGCCTCCCCTTGCCGGGGTGGCAGCTTGCTTCCCATCTACTCCAGAGGGCTTGGGTTCCCTAGGTTTGAGGGTCCTATCCCAGAGCCCACCTGCTGCCCGCACACACAGGTGTTCCCTCGTCCTCTTCATGTGCCCTGCGGGGACTGGAGCTCAGGGCGGGCAGGATGGATACCAACACAGGCTGTAACTGCAGGTTCGGTGGGGGGGGGGCGTGAGGCAGCAGACGCCCCCACTGCTGCCATGGGGGAGGAAGATGTGGGGCAGCCCAGCACTCCCCTCCCACCCACCGGCCAGGGGTCCGGCTCTCACTGCACAGATGCCTCCTTCATGCCCAGGGGCAAGTCCAGTCCATGGGGACTCGCGGCTGTGGTTGGGCAGTGCCTGGCAAGGAGGGCCTGGAAGCTGAGAGTGCACACGGCCATGGCCTCTGCCCCGAGGCGGCTTTCCAGCACCCTGCACCGAGGCGGCTTTCCAGCAGCCCGCACGGAGCCCCTGCTCTTTCAGTCTGAGCGTGGGTCAGAGGTGAGCGCTGGCCTTCCCAAGGGCTCTCCTGGCTCATGTGCAGTCCTGGGGGAGCCCCGGGCCCCTCAGGGTCTCCTTTCCCCCCTTGGAGGCGAGGGGGGCGGAGGGCAATCCCTCTGAACTCTCATGTCCCCTCCAACTCTGGAGAAGCGGGAGGGAGCTCAGCGAGTCCAGCCTCCTGCATGTGGCTGTCCTGCCTTGATGCCCGGTCAAAGCAACCACGGGGCAAAAGGCAGATCATTGCTCCTAACTTAATCCCGGACTTCTCAACAAGGGGCCTGTTGTTCGGAGGACAGAGTCTGATCTGCAAGGCAGGGGGGAGGTTCCTGGCTGGGGTGAGAGCCAGGATTCATGAGGTGCAGCGCTGACAGCACCGAGCTGTGCAACTTCAAGGCCCCCCCCACCGGAAGCGTGGGCGGAGGTGGAGGAGGGAGCCCAGCCCAGGGCAGCCGGTGGGACTGCCGACCCACGGGTCCACGCTGCCATCCAGTGGCGGGAGGAGGACATGCGTCTGCAGCCGGGAACGCGGGGAGTCGGCAGAACACAGATGCTGGGGGTGGGGGGGCTCTTTAGGATGGGGTGTGTGTGTGCGCATGTGCGTGCTTGTGTGTACGTGTGCATGAGTGTGCATACGTGCACATGCATATGCGTGTGTGTGAGAGAGAGGAGGGAGCAGTTAGAGGCAGAGGGGGAGAGATGCTGAGGAACAAAGGGCAGGCAGGCAGGGAAAGGAAGGGCTCTGGCCCCGGACCCAGGGGAGCCATGTCCTTCAGAAAACCCTCAGCCACGTGGTTCCTCCTCCACGTTCCCAGGGCGGTGGCGGCCATCTAGATGGACAAAAAAAAGCCCACTCCGGGGAAGGATTGGTGGTTCTGTCAGAGGAGGAGGAGCTCTAGGAAGGGGATGGGATTAATCTCCGGTCTCAGCGTCCCCGCACAAAGCCTGGTCCATGCTGGGAAGATGACACAGGGCCGTTTCTGTGGGGTCAGGCTCGGGTCCCTGATTGGTGTCGTGAGACTTGTCCGTCATTCTTCCCGGGGCAGAATAGTGTCCCGTTCCTGCCTCATTCAGACTTGAGCAATGACTGTCTTCCTGTGCCGGCCGGCCGGCCGGCTCCCCCAGGGGCTGTTTGGACAGCGTGCTCACCCTAGTTCCTTGGGGGACTGGGTGGGCAGGTGAGGACCAAGGGACAGTCACCAGGCATTACCCACATTAATCCAGCAGATCTGAACCAAGGGTGGGAGGTGTTTCTTAGCTGTAAGCAAGAAAATCAAAGTCTGGCTAATTTAAGTAGAAAGGGGATGCGTTGAAAGGTTTTTGGGAGTTCACAGGAATTTTGGAAAGACTGGAGAGCCATTGGGGACCACGTAGAAGGGAACAGAGCCCATGAATCATGCTGCAGAGGGACCCAGCTGACGCTCTTGCCATACAAGCTGCATTGGTATCTCACTGGCTCGCCTCCAGAGTCTGGAGGGCAGGTCTGTGTGGGTACGTAGTGTCCTGGGGCCATTTTGTGCAGCTGCACAGGTTGTGCACTGCACAGATCCAGAGAAGCCATTTCCAAGAACTACCACACGTGGTGGCTGGTATGTGTCTGTGCCCGAGTTATAAGGAAGGCTGGGAAAGCACACAGTTTTCAGTGTCTCTGGTGGGAGGAATACTGCTTTCCAAGTATGAGCATAAACCAAATGTGCTGTATCGGTTAGTTTTTGCTGTGTAATGACCCAGCCAAAGCTTAGTGACTTCAAATAGTAACCATGTTTTTACCCATTCCTGGTGATTCTAGGGGTCAAGCATTTGGGCTGGGACTGCAGGGTGGGCCTTCTGGTCACAGCTGGGCTCCCATGTCTCCTGACAGCTGCCAGAGTGGTCACGCCTCGGTGAGCAGGCCACGATTCTCTCCTCAAGTGACCAGCCTGAGGGGGTGCACAAGGTGGCAGTTCCAGAAAGCAGGAGTGGGCCCACAAGGCTGCCTGAGGCCCAAGCCCCGAGCAGGAATGATGTGGCTCTGTCACCTTCTACAGCTACGTGCTAAGGTGCGTCTGGGTTCAAGGGGCCACGTGTGGTGTGAGAAGACGCAACGGGATCTGGACGGTTGTGGCCACATTTGCAATCTGCCACCCACAGGAAAAAGGGCAGATATGTCCTGACAGGACGGTGGGAGCAGGAAGGACCTTGCAGGTGGTCAGCTGGGGTTTGGTGCGTGTGAACAGGAGGGAGGAGCCCCTGAAGGGACGCGCGCTGCAGGCTGGATCAGTTCCTTTATCTCTGTCTGAAGGTGCAGCAGGCGCTGTGAGCTGCGGTGGGTCCTGCCGCTCAAAGTCAGGGCCTGGGAGGAGGTTGAGGCACAAGGTGGGTTGCGAAGGCAGAAGTTTCTAGCATCGCGCTGGGGTTCAGGGGCAGCGGGCTGCTTCTGGCTGTGGTGTCCTGGCTCGCCTGTCAGGCCATGCCAGTGGGGCCATGCCCAGCCCCGGTGACCCCGAGGGGCACCCCACCTGCTTCATCCACAGGCGCAGATGGCACGGAGGCAGCACCCCAATGCAGGAAGAGCCCACGCCTCCAGTCCTCGTTCTCGCTGCCATGGGCCAGCCTCACCCCAAACCTTTCTACCCATCATCCCCCATCAGGGTCCCTCGTGGGGATCAGTTACCCGCTGCTGACTCACTGACGACCCTACAAGCCAGCAGCGGTGCACTGTCTCATACGGGTTCTGTGGCTCAGCAACGTGGCAGCAGCTGAGCCGGCTGGCTGGTTCCGGCCCCGGCTCCTCTGGGGCTGCTGTCGGGGTGCGCCGCGGGTGGCTCTCAACTCCAGCCTCTGGGTGAAGGTTCTGCTCTCGCCACTCCCATGGCCCCGACGGGCTCCCATCCGGCTCCAGGCTCTGGGACCACCACTCTGCTGGCTCTCGTCTTCCTCCTCCCCCCACAGCGCCGTCTAGAAGCACGGGCACAGAGGCGGGAGGGCTGTTTCCACGTCGCTGCACGGGGCATCGAGCACGTGGAACTGAGTGAAGCAGGGGACGTAAACTCTAAATTCAACTTCTATTAAATTAACTTAAATTTTATTTTTATTTATTATTATTTGAGAGTGCGAGAGAGCGCACAAGCGGGGGATTGGCAGAGGAAGAGAGAGAAGCAGACTCTTGGCTGAGCAGGGAGCCTGATGCGGGGCTCGGAACCAGGACCCCAAGATCATGACCTTAACTGAAGGCAGATGCTTTACAGACTGAGCAACCCAGGCGCCCCTTAACATCACCTTTAGATATGATTTTAAGTAGCTAATGGCCGGACAGTGCGGCTCGCACCACCTTGTTCTCCAGGTCCTGGACCTGCCACCTGGCACGGCCTTGCCGCTGTAGAGGTCCAGACTCCCGGAGCCTCCCAGATCTGCAGTCAGAACCTACACGGTAGCGGCTGTCCCGCGCGGACGCGCACCACACTTGGGGAGCTGGGCTCCAGGTGCGGACAGGCGGCTCCACAGCCTTCGCGAGCCCCCGAGCATCCCTCTTGGCTGTTCTCTGTGCTAGACTCAGGTCACGGGTGAAGGGAACCCCAGGACAGGGTCACAGGGTCACTTCTGTTAGTTTAATAAAGCAGCACCCGCTATGTACAGAGGCACAGATGTGGCTTGTGTTCTTAAGAATTCCCCCTGGAAGGCTGGACGGACATGTCCCCACGGACCTGAGGACCTGGGCACCACCCGGAGGCCAGGGAGTTCCTGGAGGTGGCGAGCTTTCCAAATCAGGGATGCAGGGGTGCAGGAGGGGAGAAGGGCAGGCCAAGCCTGGTGCCGAAACAAAGGATGGTGACAGACACCCACATCGCACTGCCAGCCCCCCAGGCTTCCAAGGGCAGTGCTGGTGCCGCGTGGGTGATCCGAGCTCCAGCTCCCGTTCAGCCGCTCGTGACTCAAGTGACCTTGGATGAATCTCTGACCTCTTGAGCCTCAGTTTCTCCATCTGTGGATGTGACCGCTCTGCGGGGCGGGGTGACAATGCCACCCGTTGGGCACCACGCACGTTGGGGCCACTGTGCTGTTCCCGCCTCATCGAGAGCTCTTCCTCTAGACCGTGGGGCTCCAGGGCGGGGACCGGCGTCTGCTGCACACCACGAGGCGTGGCCCCTCTCATCAAGGTCCACGGAGTCCTTTAAATCATGTGAACCTCGCGGTGCAACTGCATCTTCCTGGGGACTGAAGGTCCTTCCCTGTCGAGTCCCCCGGAGGCTGTCCTCTCTAGAACCGTGGCTGTGTGTGCGGAATCCGTGCGTTTGCTGGAGGCTCGGAGACACAGCGCTGGGCATGCCGTCCCGGCTGGGCTGAGGGGGTGTTTCAGGACCAGGCCAGCGGGGATGGGCTCTTGGGGGGGATTAGGCATGGCCGTGCGCCCCCAGTGAAGTCCCTGCAGAGAGTCCCTTGACTTCTCCAGGGAGGGGCTGCTCTATGGCCGAGGCCCCTCCCCCAGCCCTTGTGACATCACAGAGGCTCGGCCAGTCTCCGGAAAGTTCTGTCTTGCTGGGTGAGGCCCCTCTAAACTTCCTCCTGGCCAGCAGCGAGCACCATGGGACCCTGGCTGGCTTGTGGGGAGCAGGAAACCCGGTGCTGAACACTGAACTTGGGGTCCTACGTGAGGTTGGGGTGCCGCTCATACATACCTTCCTGCTTTAAGGCTGTCTTTGACGGAGGAACGGGCTGTGGAGGGACTCAGAGCGTGATGAGCCTCTGATGGCATCAATCGGTAAGGCTGGGGGCAGCGGCGTCCACGGAGTGCGGGGCGGGCATGGGGCCGGTGCTGGGTTGGGGGTGTTCCAGACCCCACGGCCCATGATGCCGGGCTGGGCCCTGCTCTAAGCCCCGCGCTCCCCTCCCCACCCCTGCTCCTGCAGGCCCCCCGTGAGTCATGGGACTTTGCAGAGCTCGTCCTGGGGGTGAAACGGGCTGGCGTCCTGCCCACAGCAGAGCCGCAGAACCGCGCTGGGAGCCCGGCCTGGGCTTACGGCCCGCTAGCTGCACCAGCCGCTGCTTGAACTCCCTCTGGTTTTATGCCACATGTGAATCAACTTCTTTGATCTCCAAAAACCTCATCCTTTTGGCCAAAGCCTTCACTGAGGTCCCCTCAGGTGCAGTGGGTCGCTGAGGGTCGCAGGAAGTTCTGCTCCCGCGGTCCCAACACCTATGGGCAGAGCCCGGCTTGCTGGTCTACTCTCCTGCCGTCCTGCACACCCTCCACATGTCTTGTCTTAAGGCAAATTCCGAAGGGGACAAGAGAGCGTGAGCGGCGCGTGAGCGCGTGGAATTTCAGGATTATACTTTCTCCATCAGAAAGACAATGATCGCCCGCTCTCCGGAGGTGACCCTCCTCAGGCTCCTCATGGTGGACAAATCCGATGTGATTGTAGAAAACGCTCCTGTACACTCACAGCTTGCCCCTTTCAGAGGGGATCTTGTTCCCTCACAAGGAATTATTTTGGAAAATCTCATTTAAACACACAGACTTGGAAGGAGACGCCATGGGTGGTGCGGGCAGAAGGCGCCTTTGGGTGAGGGAAGGTCAGGTCTGGCGGGCGCCCCCTCCTGCACAGAGGCCTTGTCTGCCTCGTGGACAGGACGGCAGGACACGCTGGACGGCCGGGGAGATGAGCAGAGCCGGGTGAGCCCACACCACCCAAGGCGCCGAGCTGCGAGCTCCCACAGCCAGGCAGAAGACCTACTTCCCTGCAAGTCCCCAAGGGCCCCGTGGAGCCTGGGCCGTGGGGGACACATTTGGGCTTCGTGGCTCAGGAGAGAAACCCAGACACAGACCGCGAGCTCCCTCCACGCAGCCGGGGTGCGGTTGTGTGGTCAGGCCTGCACAGTGTTCTGGAACCACACGGGAGGGGTCCCCTCTTTTCCTTGGCACATTAAAAGAGATTCCAGGAAAGTTAACGCACGGTGTTACGTTACTTTCAGGCGTAGAACAAACTGGTCCAGCAGCCCCACAGATCGCCCACTGCTGCTCATGACCGTGTCTCCTTCATCCCCGTCACCTGCTCCCCCTCCCCCCGCCTCTGGGCACGTCCGTGTGTCTCTGTAGGTAACAGTCTGTGTCTGAGTTTGTCTCTCTCTCTTTTTTCCCTTTGCTCGTTTGTTTTCTTCCTAAATTCCACATGAGTGAAACCATATGATACTTGTCTTTCCCTGATGGACTTATTTCACTTAGCAGAGTACTCTCCGGGCCCATCCATGTCCTTAAATATGGCAAGACTTCATTCTTTCTGATGGCTGAGTGACAGTCCCCTGTGTGTCTACAGCACCTCTCCTTTCTCTGTGCATGAGTCGGAGGACACTGGGCTGCTCCTTATCTCGGCCGTCATAGAGAATGCGGCTGTAAACCTGTGAACTCGTCCCTCTGGACGGGTGCGTCTGTGGTCTCTCATGAATCCCCAGGAATGTGAGAGCTGGCTTGTAGGGTCATTCTATTTTCCTCCTCACATGTGTATCCTGGGGTGGAGAAACGTACCCTATCCCGGCCTTCTAGAGTGTCTGGAGAACACACATAAGGAATTACGCAGCTCCTGGGGAGATAGTGAAGACGGTGCTGTTTTCTTCATCGTTAACAAAGGGGTGGGTCTGTGGCTTCATCTCCAGGCCCCTTGGAAACACGTCCCCGCCCCTTTCATTACCGCGTGACACTGGGCAAGCGCCCTGCCTCTCTGGGCTTCTCTGCAATGGGTATGATCACAGGTAACTCCCCAGCTGGCGTGAGGAAGGCAGGAGAACAGGTGTGAGGAGGTAGGAAAACAGGCGAGGAGGCAGGGTTGGGACCTAAGCTGTCCATTGTCTTCCGGACGCCTGTCTCATGCTGTTACACTTATTTTAAGGAAAGTGTGGCAGGACCCAACTGCAACCAGACCCAGACCTTTAGTGGAGGCACCAGCTTGGCGGACAGTCCTCAAGGCGACCAGTGGGTGCTGTCAGTGTTCCACCGCTGGGAGGCCAGGATAGCCTGAGACTGGTCAGGCGGGTCAGGGGCTGGATGCTCCCAGACAGCCGGGTTGGCCTGGGGTCCCTGGTGGCTCTAGTAGTGTCCCAGGAGCCCCTCTGTGTGTCCCTTAAAATGGGCACAGCTGATGGTGCCACAGCCTCTGCCCTCAAAGATCCGATGGCTCCGTTTTCTCTCCCGCTTGCTCGCTGGTGTGGAGTGCCCTGTCCGTGGGCCCTGGGATCTGTGAACACAATCTCACCTGCAAGATCCCCCTTGCTGTGTGAAGTCCTTTGTCACGGGGTCAGGCATGAGGGAGCCAAAGAGACGGGTTTGCCTTGAGTTGGCACGTTCCTGCACTGACGAGAGGTCGCCAAAGAGTTCTAAGAGCACGGGATGTTGTGTCTAAATTAATAAAAAGGGATTTTAAGACAATGGTGCTCCCTACAGTGGGGACCGTTGCTAGAACCTTCTCCAGCAATGGAACTCGCTCTTCTGGGCCATTCTGTGCAGAAGCTCCCAGGCACACCTGGCTCCTGAGCCCATAACATGCGGCCGGAGTGACCAAGAAGCCGAGTTCTGTATTTCATCGGACTTAAACTCTCATACGACGTATGGCAAATGGTTCCCATCTTAGCACAACCGTACAATACCTGGCCAGTGTCACGCCTCTTGCACACTTAGGGCCTGGTAGGGACGGTCTCTGCTACTTCCAGGCCTGACCTCTGGTACGGTCGGGGGGAGGGTGTGAGCAGCGGTGGAGAACATTGGGCTGGGTTTTTTGTTTGTTTGTTTTGTTTTGTGTTTTAAGGAAGTGCTGAAGTGACTGTCTAAATCTGAGGGTCGGGATTTGGGGGTGGGAGTGCTGATCCCTTTGAGAAATGTGGAAAATGCTCGTCTCTCTGGCTCTTTCCCTGCACATCTGCAGCCTCTGGTCCATGGCGGCTGCGTGCACTTCTCGGTGGAGGTCACTCAAGGCACAGTGAAGACAAAGATGGAAGACAGCAGGGGTGACAAGAATGCCCCTCGCCGCTGCTCTGGCCAGGAGGGAGGCAGGATGACAAGACCCACGAAGCACCTGCCCCGTGTTGCCAGGACACCCGGCATTTTCTGTCCAGCTGGGTAGCTGGGAGAGGGGCCTTAAGCCGTTGACTTTGGCAAAATATTAGCGAGCTCCGTCCTGCTGTAAATGGAGCTCACCGCAACTGCCAGGGAGAAAATGGGGACTTTTCAAAAGAGTGACCAGGTAAATCAAATGTCATGTGATTATTTAAGAAAATTAAATATGCGAGAAGGCTTTGTCCAGCATCCGTGGCTGGCTGGGCTCCGTGTGATCTTGTCTGGGACACGGGACGGTTACCGGGCTCTGTCGGGGGAAAGCCCACGTGGCCCACAGGTGCGGCCAGGCCGCCGTCTGTGCCGGACTCTCACCAGCTCGGAGGTCCTGA